TGGGAGAACTATCTGGATCGTCTTCTCACTTTGTTGGTCGCATATGCCATGGCGGGAGTGACCCCCAGGGCTAATGTGCGGGATGCCTCGGCGGAAAAGACCCTTGGCGCTGACTCGACAGCCTTTGTGGAGGTGCCGCTGGATGTGGTCATGCAATATTTCTACAGAGCGAAGCGTCAGTCCAGTGCACTGCCGTTGTCACAGAGGTTGGCTTGGCTCGAAGCCCGTGACCTTGAGGATCGTTCCGATTGGGTTGCCAAGTTTCGGGAATCATCCAAGTCCTTGGGGGAGGTCATCAAGGAGACCAGTGTGGCACGTGATGCCCATTGGGTACCACATGCGGTGCCCGGAGCTCCTAAGGCAGAGGTGAGCAAGCCCACCACGGTAGCTTCGACAGCAGTCCAGCAACCATCCCAGTTTGCGTTGGGCAAGCCGGTCGGTGGCAAGAAGGTGGCCAAGGTGATGCGCGATGGCTCCAAGATTTGCCAGGCTTTCCAACATGGACAGTGCAAGAACCCCAAAAGCTCTTGCCCCCAAGGCCAGCACAAGTGTGGCATCGTGGTTCGTGGTGAACGCATTTGTGGTATGCCGGGGCATGGAGCTATCCAATGTCGGGCGAAGATTTCGCCATGACGGGGCCCAGCGGGAGAGGCGGGCACTTCTGCTGGGCAGGATGAGGCAAGACCCGTGGACAGAGTTGACTGTCAGCTGCCACGGATGGCGGATCTTTATGCGGGGCCTAATACACCTTTGTCCAGAGCCTTTATCTTTTGCGGTTGGGAGACCATTTCAGTGGATTGGATGTTGGATAGGAGTCATGACCTCTCCAACAGCCTCAGGCAGCAATCGTTGCATGAGCAGTTGCAGTCCGTGTGCTTCATCGCAGCAGCTTTGGATTGCTCCACCAAGAGCCGCGCGAGGGAAATTCCGCGGGACTTTGGTGATGGGCGCCCACCACCACGGCCGTTGCGGTCTGAGCAGCACCCGCTGGGTCTACCTGAGTTGACAGGTTCTCAGCAGACACGGGTGGAGCAGGATAATGCGGCTGCGAGCTTTGTGCTGTCCGAGATCGACCAGTTGGTGGACAGGGGTGGTGGATCAGTCCGCGAGAACCCATACAACAGCCTCCATTGGTGGACACCGGATGAGGTGGCGATGTGGGAGAGCGGTCGCTGGTCCGACCAGCGGTATTCAGCCTGCTGTTTTGGTGGTGCAAGATCGAAGCTGCAGCGGTTGCGCCACAACATTGCAGAGATCGCTCAATGGCCTCGAGCTGACTGCAACCATTTCCATGATCCCCAGGAATGGGAACCTTGGGTCCAGAATGGTAAGCGCCATTTCCCTTCAGCTGAGGAGTCCGAGTATACAGCAGAGCTCTGTTTTGCGATTGCCACGGCAGCTTCGTGGTGGGCAGTGCGTGTTGGACACGCCAAGCTCTATGTGCCGAGGTCCCCATCGCCGAGTTGTACTGGGCATCGGGACCATTGGCTTGACCTCGATCCTAGAGCACTTCGTGAGTGGGCTATGACCCCACTGGCCATCAGCCTGGGCTTGAGGCCTTTGGACACAGCTGAAGCGGCTAGGGTGCCCACAAGAGCATGTGTTGAAGATGTCTTGCAACAGGGCGCCCTTCCCCCCGGTCATGTGTATGTGGGGCTTGGAAATCATAACCACCGCCTACCGACCACCAAGTGGAAGTCTCCATGGCAGGTGGGAGTGAATTGCACCCCCCAAGACTGGGTTCCCTACTACGTCCAGTACATCAGGGAGACACTCTGGTGCGAGTTGGATGAGCTCGAGGGAGCAGTGCTAGTTTGTGATTGCCCTGCCGCCCAAACTTGTGAGGCCGACCTCCTAGCCGGGTTAATTTTTGATCGATTGAGCGAGCAGGGCCAGCGGAGTGCCCCCCAGGTGGTCCAAGGTTATTCTGGCAGGAGTCCCCAGGGAGTTACCCGGTGTGTCCTCTTGTCCAGTGTAGCGCGGGCTACAGGCATCCCCTTCGGGCCATTTTACATTCTGCAGGAGTCCTTGGCGTTAGCGTTCAAGAAGCTGTACCCAGGCGAGTGGTTCGAGGGAGTTGCCATCCCCTTTGTGGAGGACTTAGTGAACCAGCACCCACTTGACCTATTTGTGCGATGGCGCCACCAACAAGGGCTGGACATGGAGGGCAGCTGTAACCCGGTGTTGGCAGCCCCTTCAGTGCGGCAGAAGATGAGGACGGCAGAAGGGCAACAGGTGGGAGCGATCAACCACAGAGCGGCGTTGGCCCCCCTTCTGCCCTTTCACCTTCAGCCAGACCAGCATTTCGAGCAAGCCCTTCAGCTCAGCATGCAACAGTTGCCTACTGAAGGGCTTCCCATTTTGGATGAGGATCTGAGGTTTGCTGCATCTTTCTCTAGCCTGCCAGGAGTTGACCTGCGCAGGTTGCGAGAGCGCGCCATGGGCATCTTGTCTGAGATGAAGAGACGGTGGAGCTCGATCACAGCCCATTTGAGACGCAAACAGACTGAGGTCATCAGGACGGCAACAATGCAGCGTGACATCGGCTTCACTGCAATTCTTCTTCTTGTGGCTAATTGGGGTGACGTGACACTGCCAGCAGGCCTGTGTATGGGGCTTCCCGCAGTGGGTTACGCGCCTCCATATGGCATTTTTCCGGAACAAGTTGCCACACGTTTGACAAGAGAGGAGGTACTCCAGGACTGGCAGAGCCACAACAACACCATTTTAGCTCGGCTCAAGCCAGGTGCCGATGATGAATTTTTGTTGCAGCAAAGCCTCAAGGATGCTGAGAAAGGGTTTTGTGGGGTGCCCATGACTGCAGAGGAACTGCAGCGTTGTCTGGGTGCGGAACCCTACCGATTGATCCCGCGATGTGTCATCACACAATCCTCGGGGAAGCAACGAGTAATTGATGACGCTTATGTTGGCTTGCAATCTGAGCGTTCCAGTGATGCAAACAAGCTCACCCTTTGCTCAGCGTTGCGGCCAGCCCAACACCTGCAGTATGCCTTCGCCTTTGGGAGGTCACCCAACTGGGAGGCAGAAGAATGGGAGTCTGGCGGTGAGGATTGGCCAGATGCCTATCGTTTTTGCCCTATGAGTTGGGATGAGGCCTTATGCTGCATTGTGGCTTTCTTCCATCATGAATGGCAACAACCAGCGTTTATGATTTATACAGGTCTGCTATTTGGTCTTCCTCTTGCAGTCAAGTCCATTTGAAGGGTCTGGTTCAATTTTGGGCCCGTGAACGCATCGAGACCAAGCTGCTTCATCTTATGCAGACTGCCGAGGAATCCGGTAAGCTGCAACCAGGGGTGGCAGCCAAGCTCTACGGTATCGCCAACTTCTTTGAGCTTGGCGTGTGGGGGCGTATTGGCTGCGGTGGCTTGGCCCCCATCAAGCACAGACAGCAGGAGCGCTCTTCAGAGTTAACTGAAGAGTTGCGCCAAAGCTTTGACCTGCTACGTGCTGTCATCACCACCCGGCCTTCTCGCCACATTGAGATCTGGCCACATGCAGGGCTCCGCTTCCTTGCTGCTTCGGATGCGGCGTTGGAGAGCCCAGGTCAGGGGACTGGAGGCTTTTTGGTGGTGTGGCATGACGATCACAGGCAACACCGGGAGGCTTTTGTTTCTCTCATTCCCCCACTGGTGTACAGCCTCTGGGAGCCTGGTGACAAGAAGATTGCCCAGTTAGAGCTGCTGCAAGTGCTCTATGCCTTGTTTTCTCGGCCTTCCAGATTTCGAGGCAGACGAGGTCTCTGGTTCATCGACAACACGGCAGCGTTGATGGCATTGATCCGAGGTCGTTCTGACAATGCAGATTTAGAGCATATGTCACGGTTGATCCATATTACTCTTTTTGGTCTTAAGGCTTGGTTTTTCTGGGAGTGGATCCCTAGCAAGGCCAACTGGTCTGATGAGATCAGCCGTGAGGGCCTCCAGGCGACATGGCACAAACGCCATGGGTTCACCACGCATTTTGCATTTTTCCCCTTCGAGATTTGGTCTCTACCACTTCCCGCGTTTCTCCGGGTTGTGGAGTTTCTCTGAGTGCTTTGGGATGAAGTGCATTGGGAGAGATTCAACCTGTGTAGCCTCCTGAGTTTACAGGAGTGCGGAACAGGGTGTACGGATCCAACCAGTGCTGCTGTGCAGGAGACTACCTGCACAGCGTTCCAAAGCACTATCCTGCGAGGAGCAGGTTGAGACCGCACGAAGAGTTTGGGAAGAAAAAGCCATGCGGATGTGAGCCTGGATAGAGTGAACCGTTTTGAGTATCTATGCTTTACATCTCACAACTAATGTATGTATGCATCGTGTTTGGCAGGCACTGGGTGTGCATTATCATTAGGGTGAGTATGTAAGCTGATGAATCCATTTTGGCTCAAGTCTGAGCCAAACTGGCTTCATCGTTCTTTCTTTTCCCTCCCTTCCCTCCCTATGAGGTAGGACTCCGGTGGAGTATCCTCCCTTGTAGGGGATCACATCATTGAGGATGCTGATCTCTACGTGGAGTCCCACGACTGTAGCACTGGGCGGGAGAGATTCAACCTGTGTAGCCTCCTGAGTTTACAGGAGTGCGGAACAGGGTGTACGGATCCAACCAGTGCTGCTGTGCAGGAGACTACCTGCACAGCGTTCCAAAGCACTATCCTGCGAGGAGCAGGTTGAGACCGCACGAAGAGTTTGGGAAGAAAAAGCCATGCGGATGTGAGCCTGGATAGAGTGAACCGTTTTGAGTATCTATGCTTTACATCTCACAACTAATGTATATATATATATATATTGTATATATATATTAATATTATATTGTATATATATATATATATATATTGTATATATTATATATATATAATATTATATTTAATATACACAGTTACACAGGCATAGCATATAATTGTATGATAGCTTATAGACCTATGGATCAAAACCCACGGAATCCTCTTCTCTTCACATCAGAATCGCCGGGCTTTGTGGATGCCCATCCTGGTGCAGGAGTCATCCGATGGGATCCTCCCTTTCGCGGCAACAGCAAGTGGGTCTACCGGATGGAATTCTCTGAGGACTTCGCAGGCATCACAGGTGCGATCGTTTAAAAGGGCTTGATGTTTGCTATGAAAACCTTGGGGATCCAAGTTGCATCCTAGTCACACTATGTCATATCATGTCATATCATGGGAGAATCATGTCATATCATGTCATATCATGGGAGAATCATGGACCAATGGAGAATCAAGTTCCATATCTCCCTGGACCCAACCTCTGAGGCGGCGAGGTGGTTTGTTCCGTTGGCTCTGAAGCGACGACGCAGAGCTATTTGGCTCCCTGGATCCACGACTGGGAGAGGCACCTGTCGTATCTTCGATGGACGCCGCCACCCGCGACGATGTTTGGGTCGGTTTTTGTGCAAGGCAGGACTTGGGGTAGCCGGGTAGCCAGCTGGTGAGATATTGGGGCGAAGTCTGATTTCTTGATATTTGGATTGGAGGCTGAATGTACTGTGGTGATCTGTGGTATACAGAGAAAACAAAATTCCAGGGTTCCAAAAAGAGGACTTTCTATCCTTTGAAACTGTAGCAGCATCCTATGTTGGACTACCGTGTCCTGTACCCTGGTCTCACACGGTATCACTGGTACCTTCCTGGTCACGTCAGGAACTTCGTACTCCTCAGTGCTGGAGGGGGTGGCCAGCTATCACTTCGACAGCCCGGAGCGGTGTTACATTTCCTACGCCAACGCCCCGGAGAGTTGGCTCCTGGACGATGGCTCCAAGCCTCCAAGGCAGAAAAACTTTGAGCTGATGTCTTATGAGCCCAGTTCCCGCACCTTCAAAGGAACCATCAGATGGCCACAAGGACAGGGGTGAAGTAGAAATTTCATGATCTTTTTCCACCATTTTCTAGACCTTTTGGCTCGCTCTTTTTATAAATCACTTTTTGGATTTGTTTGAGTCTGTTTGGATCTTTTGAGTGGTGAGATAGTGCTTAACCACCTTGGATTTCAAAGTGATGTTTGCAGACGATCCGAATGAGGCTTCGATGGGGCAGTGCGATGGGTCTACACGATTGTCTTCTCTGAGGATTTTGAACAGATCTCTGATGGGAAGGTGCAGCCCTATGGATCCCGGGGCTGGCCAATGGCAGGGCAGCACTTTGGGAATCCAAGCGGTCCATTGCAGCTCTCAGCATCTGTGATGCTGCTTGGCAAGGGGAACTTTCTAAAAGAGATAGGAGATGTGAGGTGCAGTGTGGTTTTTTGGCTCCCAAAGTGTGGTCCCTGCTGATTAAATGCTGTTGATATTGATGCGTTTGCCAGGGTTGCAGGAACTTGATGTAAAGCATTTCGTATTCAGGAGTTGCCATGTGTCTGTTTTTGTTGGTGTCCAAAGTCAAGTGACAAGGAGTCAGGCTCTCGTCGGTGAGTATCAAAGTTGATAGCAGCATCTTTGTGCACCTGTTGTGCACTGACAAAGACAACTCAACGTGAAGGTAGCTGAGAAGGGGTCATCAATTGGAAGCATTAAACACCGACAAGAAAGATGAACACTTGAGATTGCAGTCTTGAGGTTTTAGGATAAGCTCCTTTCGCTGCTTTGGTACCTTAGATGCTAGTTGACCCCTTTGGCAGTTCACAAACAGACATTTCAAGGTATTACGTCCGGAAACCATCAGCCCTGGCAGCAAGTGCTCGAATACAGCAGCGCTTCCTTGCTTCTCACAATGTGGAGAATGAAACCAACGAGCCAGATGCGGTGGAGGGATCAGGGCCGGGAAATCCAACAGACATTGTAACGCGTCCAGAAACTCAGGGAGCTTGTGCGATGCAATGAAATGGACAAACACCTTATTGCGAGCTTTGCACGGCCTTTTTTCCGCACCCCTCTCACCAGAACTGCGTGTACTTAGCTGTAGGAGCAGCATTTTCGGTCAGCCATTTAGCGGTGGCCCCATGATTGTGGACCAAAATCAAATATTTTCTTTTGTTTCACGCACTGAGCACAGCTGCTCAGCGCCCAGAAACACACATTTTTGCTCCAGTATGATCCTATGCAAGAATGTGTGATATGTACAAAGTGAGCCTCCTTTGAGACATCACAATGATTTCAATCTAGTGGTGTTTCAAACCCGTTCCAAGTGCTACTACCTGCACTTGATTCGTCCCCGGACAAAACGATCTTGCTGAAGCTCGCTGTATTGCAACTGTATCCATCCATATGGGTATGGATGGAAACGCTCTGAGGGCATACTTTTAGGGGCTAAATCGGATGAACATCCAGTTCACCAGCAGTTCTTTTGGTGTTCACAATAGCCCACCATAGCCGCAATGTGGTAACCGCCATATACCATTTGGGAATGATGGTTACCATCCACAAGGATGGTGATTTCTGCTCCATCGCAGGCTGAGATGAACAACTGCTTGCTGATGCTGCTGCATCACTCAGCCGATTTTATGGCTGGTGTCAGCAAGCAGGTTGGGTGTCGTAGCGCCTGCTTACCATGACATGGCTGCAACCATGCTTTGTCCGCTTCAAAAACAAGGGAAATTCATGGAAGCTGTGGCGATTCTAGTACATACATACATCATATATATATAATTATATATATAATTATACACATAACTATGAGAACATGAGCATATTATATACAGTGTATATATATATTACATCATGCTGGTACTTGATATTATAGGTTTCCAAAGTCCCGCCGCTCAGCGCTGCATCGTGGACATCCACGACATTCGGGAGGCGATGCGGGTGACTTCGATGGAAAGCCGCTCCGCTGCACCCCGGCCATCCTGGATGTATAAAACATGGGGCTATGAAACCAACCGTTTATTGGGGATAGAATATATATATATATATAATAGTAATAATAATGATAATGATAATGATAATAATAATAACAATAATGATAATAATAAATAACATACATAATAAATAATAAATAATAATAATGATAAATAATAATAATGAATAATAATAATAATAAATAATAATAAATAATAATAATAATAAATAATAATAATAAATAATAATAATAATAGTAAAAATGATAATAATACACACATATATATATACTTATAAATACTTGTATACATATACAGATATTCCATGTATAGTAGGATATTTGTGTATGGGTCAAAAAAAGGATAGCATCTTGAACCCACAGACACACACACACATGGCCGATCATGTTTAGTATGAACATATCATTGTTTTTTGTCATTTCGCCACATCTGTTGATGACCCAAGGCTGGCTACAAGAAACGATTGCAAAGGCTGTGGCTGATCTCGCGATGTGAGGGGCAGGGGCATGGTTGAGAAGTCAAAGCTGGGACAAGATAGAAAGAGGTGAGCACATAGGGTCAAGAAGAGTTGTTGCAGACCGATTGCGGTATGTGCCATGCCTGATTGCAGATGGTTTCACTTGTCCCTAGACCTTCATGCCTTTTGAGTCTTGTTCCTACGTTCCACCTTCCAGGCCGCTACAAGTTCCACCGATGCCCCTGCAAAGGGCAGTGAGGCTCAGCCATATCCTGCGGTGGGTTGGGGTGATAGCCGGGTTATATAATCCAGTTATATGGATTTATATGGTAAAATCTCGGTGACGAAATTGGGATCATGGATTCACATGACCAAAGCTCCGATCCCTGACATAGTGCTAGGTGCTCCACGAGGATTCGACGGACTCTGCAACGATTTCAGACTTTGAGGCAACGCTGGTGACCTCATAGTTCTTTCGTTTGTCCAAGACATGGTTGTGTCCTTTCTTGTTCTGAAAGGCTAAGTGGCACGGTGTCAATGATTTGACACGATATGAACACATGACTTTTGCAGAAAAGCAGAGATGGCGACAAGACAAATTCGCACCGGCAGATTGGAAAGCCAACGACCTTGCCGTAAAGCTGTTCTCATCCAATCCGGTTTTTGTATGTGTTTGTTGCATTTGGCACGGCAGGTTGACGCTTATGGTCACAGCCCCAGATTCCAAGCAGAAAATGGGGCACCTCTAAAATCAAGGGTTCATCATCGTCATATCATCATTGTCTCAGATGATCTATCCATTTTCAATATTGGGGGGCCCCAACCCTCGTTTTCAGAGAAACCACTTACTGATGGGTAGTATCCTCACGTATCCCATTTATTAATGATTCATAGCCGCATATTCTCCATTTTGACACACACACACACCCACACACCCCCACACCCCCACACACACACACATCTTCTAATTCATGATGTCAAGCCTGGATTTATAGACCTCTGAGCCCTAAAATGGGTGGTGAACCATTCAATCCCAGTTTTTGCCAATTTTAGTAGCAACAATTGAGGTGGTCACGTCATCGAGAAGGTGCACCCCATCTTCCCTGGGGCCAGAAGAGCCTTGGTCGAAAAATGGGCGGAACATGATGGTGGCAACCCCCAAAGATCTTGCAGCGAAGGGCAAGGATTGATCTGAGTCTGTGTTCAAGGAGTATTCTCAAAGTATGTTCTCGCAGACATAGTACTGTATATATATAGATATGATGTTCATGTTAACGTGCATCTGCATATGTCATATGTACCTGATGTGACCTGTTATCTCTCTCTCTCTCTCTATCTCTCTCTCTCTATATGTATATATATATATACAAATGGATACAATTATATGTATATAATTATATATATATGTATAAATATATTATATACACATTCTACTGTTTTGCACATCATTTTTCAAAATCATGGTTTTAAATTATGATGTCTTTGTTGTCAAGCAACCTTTGCCCAAAAGCAGCCGCTGAGCTGTCACCATTGTCAGCTGAGGAGATGAGGAGAAGCTGCAATCAACAACTCTGCTTCAAGGCGATTGAATCGACTGGTGTGGTTCGAAAATACCAAACGACGAACAAATACACATTTCAATCCGGAAACATGCTGATTTTGCAAGAAAAATCGAAACATCAGCTAAAACCGAAGATGTTTTTGAAATCATTGGGATGTAGGCAATAACAATTGTGATTAAAAACCCCCAAATAATACCAGTTAAGATCTTCCCGTATGAGTGATTAGTTAACCACCCATGAAACAAAGCCACCAGCTGGTGATGTAACCGTTACTACCAGCTGGAGATTTTCTGGCGCCAGGTATAGACCAGGTAGTTGCAGCCCTGATGGGCATCAGACAGGCCGTGTCTTCGTTGAGTGCTATTGATATTGGCTGATGAATTTATCATCATTTTCCCGAGTACAACAGCTATGCGGCTATTCTTGGGGTGAAAATTCGATGGATGATTTCCCCATGATTTTCCCATGAAACCTTCCATTTATATACCCTTTGGTTATTCAACATAGCCATGGAAAATCATCACTTTTAATAGGTACATCATCTATAAATGGCTCATTTTCCATAGCTATGTTAAATAACCAGAGGGTATAATTTCTAGTGGATTTCCAGCCCAATTTCGATTTACGAGGCCATCGAGGTCCAGTCAGAAGATGTTGGGCGGAGCATTGACACCTTTGCAGCCTTGGCGGTCAACTTGAGGCGCTTCAAACCGTGCATGAATGAGACTCTGAAAATGACTCCAGCTCCTCATGGTGCAAACGTCAACTCAATAAACTCCCAAAAAAAAAACTTGCAGAATTTTGAGGCAAACAAACTTCACAAATCAGAGCTCCCGGGGTCCATTTGGCCAGTTGCAATGCTGGTTTTTCCATCAGGAAAGGCGGAGAAATGGGTGATGACCACGTCCTGGAGGATGACGAGTCACATGATGCGGGCTTCACCCTGGCTTGGGACTGCCATTGCCCCAGGTTTTTTCGTCTTCGTGTTGGTCAAAATCATCTTCTTGGAACTTATTTCGTGCCCCTGCCGCCGACCCGTGGAGAGATATTTTCGAGTTGCAGCTGGTGTGGTGTGCCAGTCCTGCTTGCATGCTTGCCCCACATGCATGCAACACCAATAGCACTGGTCGCTTTCCTCATACCAGTGGCAAAGTGTAGGGTCCGTATCTGAATCTTGAGTCTGCAGGCTTTCTCATTTAACCTTTCCAGGATTTTGCAATGATTGCTAAGCCCGAAAAGGGAATCTCAACAACGTTGCTTTCTGAGTTCCCAACAAAGATGTTCAGAAGGCGCCCTTAACGGGCTTGCGAAACAGCAAAAACAAGAAAGTAGCTCCAAAATGCAGCTCCCACGCTTCCAAAAGGAGCCCCAAAATGGGCCATTTGCGGGCGCTTCCGAAACAGCAAAACTTTTGTCTGGGTCTTTCGTCTACTTCCTTGTCTTGCTTCTTGCTTCTTGTTTTTTGCTTCTTGTTTCTTGCGTCTTCTTCTTCTTCTTACTTGCTAGCTTCTTGCTCTTGCCGCTTGCTTTCTTCTTTCATATCTTGCTTGCTCTTGCAGCTTGCTTTCTTCTTCCATATCTTGAATGCTTCCATATCTTGTTTGCTCTTGCCTCTTGCCTCTTGGCCTCTTGCTTCTCATTGTTTTTTCTTGCTGTATAGTTTCTTGCGTCATGTCTTGTCCCCTCTTCTCTGACAGCAGGCGGGATCCCTTTGCACGAAGCCCTAGGATGAGGCGAACCGCTTCGGACGAATCTCAAAGGTACTTTCACTGTTGATGAGTTATGATGCTTCTGCGATTCTGCGATGCCTTTTTAAAGTGGTGATATCAAATATCATCCATAGAATTCATTCATACTGGTTACCCTCTGGTAAACTAACATAACTATGGAAAATCACAATTTATAACAGGTAAATCATCTATAAATGATCCATTTTCAATAGCTACGTTAAATTACCAGAGGGTACTCTTTTCTATTTTCCAATCATGAAGCGTTTTTTTGCTTGATTTTGCTTGGTTTCCTATGCAGTCGCCTTTCCGCATGCTCGTCCCCAGGTGTGCTCGTCCGTTACTGAGAGCGCGGCGCCATTTTCCCATCCGATCGGCCACATGAAACAACGACAGCTATAAGCAATGGCTAAAGCGTTTTTGCCCTGTTGATGATTTGTTCGGGGATTGTCCTACACAATACAGTACCCAATAATCTACCTACCAACCAACCAACCTACCTACCTACCTATCGATCCATCCATCCATCCATCCATCCATCCAAATAGATGTATGTATGTATGTATGTAATGTAATGTAATGTAATGTAATGTTATGTTATGTTATGTTATGTATGTAATGTATGTAATGTATGTAATGTATGTAATGTATGTAATGTATGTAATGTATGTAATGTATGTAATGTATGTAATGTATGTAATGTATGTAATGTATGTAATGTATGTAATGTATGTAATGTATGTAATGTATGTAATGTATGTATGTAATGTATGTAATGTATGTAATGTATGTAATGTATGTAATGTATGTAATGTATGTAATGTATGTATTTATGTATGTATGTATGTAGG